CTGATTGATGGCTAAGAAATCAATTGAATATGCAAGATAATTTTGATTTATTCCGTTCACATTACTTTTGCTGCAGTCTGATATATACTTCTCACATGTTCACCTTCGCTGGTGAGATTTGGACGATCTGAATTATCTGAAGGAACTCACTTTAACATTGAGATTTATAAAAGCACTAGAAGTCTGAAGATCATTGTGCTCAGTTTAAGACAGCAAAGTTACATTTGCTTACCTTAGATGGGCTTGTGCGACACGAACTGAGAGAGAGATAAGAGAAACGGAAGTGTAACAGTGCAACGATGAACCTGCAAAATAGCTACTTCTGAATGGCACTTGAATGTCGAACATTATATCACGATTTACCGCATAAGGAAATTACGGAGTACAGGCATAAAATAAATTGCAGTGGAGATAACAAGGCGTTAGTATTTTTTATTTCGATGCTAAGGGAACTTTTAGAAACGTCAATGTGGCACCCATTGACGAAGATGCACTTGTGAAGCTGAAACATTTCCGCAACTAAAATTTTTTTGGATTGAGTACTGTTGTGAGCTCACTCTTCATATTATGCACTGTTGGTTAAAATGCGCACTAGCAACTTGGGTACTTAGACTACCTGTTTTTACTGGTAGTGCGAGCACAGAATAGTTTCATTTGTTTCTCTCTCGCGCAACTGTTGTCCATCGGTCTGCCTCGAACACGGTGACGTGTACGAAGCATTTCCATGATTCCAAACTGTTTACCATCAGAGGATGCAGATCGTTGGCATTAGCCACAAAAAGGTAAGCCCACGTTTTGGGTGGTCTTCTAAGAAGGCGCTTGCATTTTCTTGGAGCCCACTCCACTGTTTTTTTTTTCGTCCATCTGTCATCTGTTCTTATCATTATATGACTGGCCCATATGTGTTTCGCTATTGGTACGCATAATTCTGCATCATGAAGGTAAGATAGTTTTCGAACATCAGAGCCACACAAACCCGTTAGAAGCTGTGAGTGCCAACTGACTTTTGGAAGACTTCTCTCGAGCGTTTTGTGAGTGGTGCACAGACTTCTTGATGTGGTTGTAGTGTCAGCCCTGCTACATAGCATAGCGCTGAGACGACTGTTGAGGCGAAGAGGTGTGCACGGAGTCTGGGGTCTGCCATGTGGTTGGTGGCGTCTTTCATAGGCCTGAATGTGGACCACAATGCTCTCCTTCTTCTGCCTAATTCCTCTTTCATGTTGCTTCTTATATTTAGTGAACGTCCAAGGTACAAGTACGAGGTAATCTTTGTAATCCAAGAACCATTCAGTTCAAGTTGTTAAGCTTCTCATTACGGAATCTCTATAACTGGGCATTCGTCCTATTTATGCGTGGCTTAGTCTTCTATCCGCTTAGTTAAAATCATTGAGCATCGTCTGTGTTTCGCTGGCACTTTTCGAAAAGATGGCGATGTCGTCTACAAGTACGAAGATTTGGTAGAATTTTTCTATCAATACGTATACCTTTCTTTTCCTAGCAAAGTGACTTCATTATCCATTGCAGTGCCAAAGCAGCATTGATCAGCTTTGCCGATATAGTATCCTAGTTATCTATGTAGCCTAGTTGAACACTTTTTCTATTAATGTGGCGTGGTGTCAATGGGAAAGCCCTCATTTTGGGCTGCAGTTTCGATAGTTGTCTGCAAATGTTGTATACAGGACGGATATACACTCTGGTCGACGAGCGCTGATAGGATCGCATTCGTTTCGATACTGTCAAACGCTTCCTCTCAGTCTATAAAGGTTATAATTATGGGCATATGGTATTCCAGGCAGACTTCAGTGACCTCTGACACGGTTTGAATGTGGTCTATGCAAGAATCCCTTACGAAATTATGTTTGCACAACTGATCGCGCCTCATCCAAGATCTTCAGTAGGGGCAAAAAGATGATCTTCGTGAAGAGCTTGTAGAATCACACTTCAACAAGCATATTGGGTGGTAGTTACGAAGAACCCTAGTGTCACTCTTATAAGCAGGGCGGATGTTGGCGGTGTCCTCCATTGGTCTGGGATTTTTTCCTTCTGATGATCTGATGTCATATGATTTGCAAGATGTGCATGCATGTCGTGGTCACCAGTTCTAAAAAAGTCGTATCAAGTAATGGGGCTGAGCCTCTCTTCATGCTTTCAATCGCAACTTGAACTTTAGGGGATAGAATTCTGAGTTTCTTACCAGGTGGTGATTTGAGGATTCGAGGCGGGGTTGTGGAATAGAAAAGATTGATATAGAACTTTTCCGAGTTCATTTCGTATCCAGTCCCATTTGCCGTGCTCGTGGAAAAGTCAATTTTTGGTGAATTCAATATTCAGTAGTCATTTGTTAGCTTGAATCTCAGAAGTTTTGAAATTGTACTGATTTTTGGAACGGCTTTTCATTGTGCTGTCATAGCAGAAATGAGTTGTGTTTCTCATTCGAACATTTTTTTAATTTCTTATTGTACAAAGCTTTCTCTTTAGACTTTTGGCTAAAACTCAATTGCTTTAATTAATGCTTAGAACTGTTATTGAGCATCCATATAGTGTATTTCGCCATATTCCAATCTCAATTATCTTTTGTTTCTGATGTCAATAACAATTCACTTTCATAAGTTGCCACAAATAAATAATGTTCGAATAATCTGGCAAATTATCCATTTAGAAATTGAACATTGAGGCATAAATCTTTCAGATTTGATATCGTCTTACTCAGTAGATTAGCCAAAAGCTCTCACAGCGCTTTTGATTTAGGAAATAATGAATGGTAAAAGAAAATGGTGATGTTCACTGCACCTCTTTGATAACTTTCAACAACTTTTGAGTTACTGGTGTACTTTACGAGCTGTAATGTTTATAAAATCACAGAACTATCATTTTTCAAACTATGAATTGATTACTAATAATCTAGTGAAAAGCACTAGAGAAGCAAAGGATAGAGGAGTTTATTTCACACAATGTTTTTGCATTCCATACATCATAATGAGAAGTAGAAATTTATAGGGTACTTCAGCGTTCTTTTCACTGTAAGGCAGTATACAATGGATTATACATATATATGTTTATTTTGTGATAGGGACAACGTTCGCTTAGTACTAAAATTCCACTATATAATATGCAAGAATCCGCTGTGAAGTTAAAACTAGGCAAAACGAATAAACGATGCAAAACGTTATCTATATTTCCATAAGTAAAACGTGATATGAAGTTCGCACAATAGATTAAGCTCATCGTCATAATTAGACTTTTTCAGTCTATCGAATGACTATAAAAACCTGAACTTGAGAAAAGAAACAGATGTCAAATAACGGTTGGAAATATGTTCGTTTTCAAAGGATGATGTTTTCGACATATGGCATTAATTTTACTAAAAACATTCTTATAGAAGCCATTTCAATGATGTTCCACCATTTCATGGTGATAATGTCTTTCAGAACACCAATTTGTTAAGGAAATTGTCACAATTCCATTGCAACCTTCCCCAATACAAATCCGCGACGTCGCAATTACAGTACCTGAGTGTGATTTTACGTCGTGCAAGAGTGCTACGAAGCGTAGCACGTCGGCGTGAAAGAGTTATGAGATTGTGAATGGCCTTTTGAGAGTTTTTTACTAGTTGTTCAGTATCGTAAAATGAGATAGATTTTTACGGTATGGGTGCAGAAACTTTGTTCTATCATTTTGTGTGCTTAGACCCTTCATTTTCATTTTATGTTGACAAATAAACCCGCTGCTAAGTCTATGCCAAATCCCAAGCGCTATGCACGTCCAGTGCGAAACGCAATCTTTTTTTTTGTGTATTACAGCCCAGTTAATAGCTTTTTTTTCCTGAAAGCGAACATATCATTGGAATTCATAAGATTTAAGCTATCGAATGGCTACGAAAAGTTTGGAGAAAGTGCTTTTTACAGCAAGAAATTTTTGAACACAAACTTATTTTTGCCGTTACAGCACAAAGGAAACGCCGTTTAGAAAGTAAAACATTTTCTAAAGTTCTCTTGAGATTTGAGCTATCGAACGACCACTCAAACTTCAAAATGCAGAACTTCAAAATTCATCAGAAAATAAGTTTTTACCGAGCCTTGGGTATAGTAACGGCCTGTGTGTCGTCACCTTTAATTTGCTCAATCAACGAGTTGGGCTTATACTAGTGATTTATTGGAGACTGTTGCAGCTGACGGCTAGTGACGATGAAGTCTCGAGTTAAGATTAGTGTTATCATAGTGTATGAAAGACAAAAAAAAAGTGCCCTTTTCCGTTAGCAGTTTCATATCATGGTGGGATGTAATAATGATTCCATTTTCATTCATCAATGCGGATAGTCAAACAAAAGAGTTGCAGAGATCCGACGATATTTTTTCACTCTGGATAGTTTTTGTGCTGCTTCTAATAACTTTCTTTGCCTATACCGATGTATATCCTCTTGCAAAGATTTTCTACAGCTGAAATTTATTATATTAGCCTAGTTAGATGTTTTGCAAAAAAGATCAAGTGTCCATTCCCTTTACTTTTCGAGCAACTCCGTGATGATAGTGGAGATGCCATCCAAATTTTCTGCTTGAGGAACTGATGCAAGTTCAGTGCAAGTTTCAAGTCTATCCACGAGCAGCTCGCAGCCTTCGATCGGATCTTCCTTTACTTGCCAATTGTGTGAGAAGAGTATTTTGTTGGAAACCTAAGCGAACTGAGCGATGCGCAAAAACACAGCCTCAGGCGAGAATCGAGCTCACGTTTCATCCGTATCGGGGACGCGAGCTACTACCTACGCCACCAAGGCACATTTGCACCGTCACTCATTCTTCAGCATGTTTATGTTAGCTATGAGCCACCAACCTTTGACAGGTTTGGTCGGGTATGCGATTTCGCTTTATAAACCCAGTTGAGCTGACAAACATTGTTATAACTAATACTCGAAATTTTCTAGTATTTTTACTAACCAAATCTGTCAAAGGTTAGCGGCTGATAGTTAACATAGACTGTTGAAGAATGAGTGGTGGTGCAAATGTGGCTCGGTGGTGTAATGGCAGTAGCACGCGTCCGCGGTATGGATGAAACGCGGGTTTGATTCCCGCCCGAGGCCATGTTTTGCTCACCACTCAATTCTCTTAGGTATGAACGAAACATCATAACACTGCGAAAAATGCAGCAAAAACACTAGAAATTTCGAGTATCATTTATTGGAAACATCTCGCCGCCCAGAACTTGTTTTTGCGCTTTTTTGAGCGAAACAGCACATCTTTCTCAACTTGAGGTTGCATTAACGCACGTAAGAGGCGGCGACTAGATCCCTTACAGAATCTTGGTACCACTGAAGTATCAAAGAGGTACCATTTTCTGTTAGTAAGTATACGATTAATTTCCGCAAATTGCGCCATTAGGAAACTACTATGTTGATCGATCGACGGTTTCTCTCTTCTCAATAGATGAGTTTTCATGAAAGAGACGTGCCGCAGGAAGGAGCCCCACAAGACAGTCGCCGTTCTCGTTCCGCTCTTTCATCCCGAATTTTCTTATCCTGTATTCGTTGTGGCCGCTCTTGGTCTGGTATCAAAGTGCTCAACTACGAAGTTGTATGAGGACTTTTCGCTGTGACTTCCTTCGATTTGTTGAAGAACGTGTTTACTTCGCTCTCATCAGCTGTACAAATTGGTAAAAAGCAGCTGGTGATAATGACTTTCTTTTGAATCAAAAGTTGGAGGCGAATAATAGCCTGGCGCGGTGATAGAATTTCGCACGGAATGACTAGATAGGAGATTTATGGGTGAACGACAAAACCGACGCTTTCGACATCGTGATGAAAACTTTGCTCTACGAAGAACGAGAGTTCTTTACCTAACTGCCTTATGTCGGTTTTCTTGTTTTTGGCTTTTTGTAAAGCGATCAAATGATATTTAGTATAACCAACAGCCTCAAGAAATGATTAAAAATCAGTGTATGAAAAGATTGTTCTCTTCTTACAGGAGCAAAGCAAGAAGCAGTCTTCATTGCGTGTAGTGGCGTGTTATTTGTCCTTCACTGATGACGTGTCCCTGAGTCCACGATTTGATCGTCTCTCACAGGTCGTCTCATTGGACGATGTCGGTAAGGGAGCACCCTTTGTGCGTGGTATTAAGGCTGGATCATTCTTGCTGGCTTAGCTGTTTTGTTTCCTGAATTCCTAAGGTAAGCTTAGCCGGAGCTTCCTCAAATTATCATCACATCAGCGCACTCGCCACCCGGTGGATCAGAGAGAGATTATCACATACGACTAGTAGTTACCAAGGTGGTAATTCTGGTACGAATTTCTTCTAGTTGGGTTTTCGGATGGAAGAGTCGGACTTCTTCTCAGCTTGTGTGGCTTTGCTGGGGATGAATGCCCCGCTGTACTTTGCGATCCGACATCCAGGAACAACTCCCAGCCACAATAAGGAGGCAAATCATTTCGGGCCACACATAAACAACACCGACGAGAAATTGACTATTGGAAGTCTTCATAAAGCCTAAGTATAACTTTGCTACTTAGAAGTGAAAATGGCAGAATGGTTGATTGGATGGAGTGAACAGGCACCTCAATACACCAGTTGAGGAATTAGAAAGCAGTGACCAAAAATTCACGAGTGTTCCATGTACTTCCTCCATACCGCATTTACGCTGGCATATTCTGGACCTTTTCACTTTGAAATAAATACTTTCACTTGTATTTTACATAAAAGCACTGAACATAACGATACTATTATGCTTACCCATTCAGCGCATGAAACAGCTCCCATAGAAAAGTACTACAGATGAATACAGCCCAACGACTTTTAAGAAGTGGAAGAATGCAGTGAAAGCTAATGTGTTGGAAAATAAATATTGCGTTTTCACATAGTGCCTGTAACAGTTATGATTTCATCCGTTCAAGAATTTTTGCTTTACATTTCTTTTGGCTATCTGGATACTTATTTTGTTGCTCAAGAATTATACCTGCTTGAAGAAGCGAACTTCCATTTGCACTCTTTTCCGTTGAGCGATATGTGAGTGGATACCATTTTGATTTTGAGACCGCGTTCCCTGAAAAAGAAAAGCAGTAATCCTTTGGTTGTGAAATCTTACGACAGTATCATTGATCTCTCAAAGTGAATTTCTAATCTCCCCCGGTACAATTTAGATTGCTATAGAAATCCTCATTAATCCACTGTTTCATTCATAAATACGTCGGTTCACAACTGCATCGATTTAGATATACCAATGTTTCAGCATTTTGCATACTGCCTAATGTTAATTGTGGCAGGGCCCACAAGGGATCCCAATTTCAAGGATTCATTATGTTGATGGATAGCCAAGTCCCGAAAAATGTAACCGCAAATTCGAGGCTCAATTCGGACCTCTAACTCTGATCATAGCTTGGCATCTTTATGGCACGAGAATTTGAGAGTCACGCAAGCAGCGCGACGAGCTGTAGAAAAGGTCTCTCAATCAGTAATTACTATGTTCTGAAAAGTCAATAAATTCGTCGATGCTGTATGAACATTCTTGGGAGTTTCTTAAGCGGTTGCTAATTGATATTCAAGTTCAATAATCCTGTGTGACATGCAAAACTTCGGATCTCGGTTGGACGTTGAACCTGCGCCTCGTCCTGTCCTGGGCGGGTGCTAACGACTGCACCACCGGGCTGGCTCTTGTTCCTGTCATTCTTTCTGCTATGAAAGGTTTCGATTCTATGAGTAACCGATTGTCAACATTTGGTTCTGTTTATCGAAGTTAGAATCTTTGTATATCACTCACCATTATGGATATGTAGCAGTGCTAGGGTCAAGTATAAAGTTTTCGGAAATTTTCAAAAGTTTCGTTCATATGCGCTATTTAACAACGACAACAACAATCATATTCTTCGAATTATAGACCATCATTGTCCATGACTTTCTGCCATCGTTCTGCAAAGCTCCGGATCTGCTCAAAGTACCATTTCGACTACTCTGAGTCGAAGAACCCTTGACATGCCCCTTCAACTTCATTGAATGATTCAAATCGATGGCCATTCAAGAAGTAGTATATTGATCGAACCGATGTCACAATTTCTCGTCAGAATTGGTCATTCAATGGGTTGCTGAGCGATTGGCTACAATCCTCACTCTCATTAATCTCATAAATTATCAGTATGCCTGATAATCATTTTTTGAGCCATTCATGTTATGAACCATGTGGTCTGTTATAGGGCAACATATAGAGCCCAATACACATGTTTCGGCCTTGACAGCCTCGTCAGTTGGGAAGTGCCCTTCTGCTATAGCTAGTCTCCTCGGAGGAACCCAACCCTTAAATAGAGAATGCGTGGACGTACGATTTACACGTTCCATTAAGTGAAAATATCACTGAGTGACCAGTGTTTTACACTCGATTGCTCTTGGCTGATATCGTTTAAATTTATCATACCTTTCGTTCTCATAAATCTCATAAGTGGCTTTATTAATCGTTAAACCTTTTGTCCAATTTCGAAAATCAACACACGTGAATTATACTATTCAATAGGCATTTGGAGCTGAATTAATGAATTAGATTATATACAAAGCCCTCAAAAAAACGACACAAAGATGACAGAAAATAAAGCTTTTGAAATTTCACAGAATTTTTTGATCAACCTCATAGTTTCTAATCACTACTAAAAAAAACGAGTAAAAAAGAAATCCATGTCAGTTGCACATATACAATAACATCTTGATTGGATGTCGATATGTGCTTATCACATCAAACAGTTGACGGCTGGTTGCTGATAGCATCCAAGCCTTGCTCCCGGCAAATAAAGTGATAGCGAATGTAACGTTCCCCCCTCCACCCCTTCTCCAAACGGCGAGGCACGGGTTGAACTCTCGCCCGAGGTCTGAAGACTTGCATATGGTTTTGCAATATTTAATACATAGTTATAAAATCTTACCACAGCTAAAAAAGCGGTGGACTACTGAATGTACGAACTCAACGACTAGGTTTGGAAATGATCTCTGGCGATTGCTATGCTCCTGCAGAAAAATTTTATGCCAGGAGTTTTGAGATACCAAGTTTGTGGAAAGCAACAATAATACTGAAGTACATAGTGTTGTAGGATGATGCGCTGCAAAACTTTTGCGTCATGCAGGACTGAAACCCGCATCTCACTCTATCCGGCTATATTGTAAACGGGTATAACATCATACCACTGCTGAGAGCGGTCAAATAAAAAGATTTCGATTTTATCATCCAATACTGAAGTACCTTTCAGGTTATGTGACTTCGTTATAATATGAAACACATATACGATCACTCAGTGTACACAGAGAACGACTTTTCGATAGATTGAAAGAGAGAAGAACTAATTCGAAGAATAGGTATCTTTTTATACTCATGTTCAAGCATATGATAATTTTTAGTCAAATTATGCACTTCTGTAATATGCTAGTACTCTACCCTGGATATCACAAAGTTAAACACAATGAATGTCTGGTATCTTATCATCCGACACAGCTGCTGTGTTTGTATATTATATTGAACGATAGTAGACATAACTAACTAAATTATTGCTAGCCCTGCGTCTCGATCTCAGGCAGATTAATGTGGTGCCATCGAGCAGAATGATCGCGATGAAAACGGCCAGAAAGATATAGAAATCCGTGTAGACAGAAATGATATAACCACACGAGTTGACGGAGAACGTCGACGCCCATTTCACTGTATTGAAGAATACGAAGCAATTCTCTGCTAAAAAAAGAAATCAAGAGCATGATCTGCTTCAATATCAAGGGTTTTGTATTAGAGTGGCTCTTGATCTGCTAAGAATAATTATAGCAGTCAAATGACTTACTACGAAACTAGTTGCGAATCATTAGAGATTTTTTACGTAACTTAATGCAATGTAAGTAGTTTGATTTCATCCTGATTTTCGCATAATCTTAAGAAATGAGAGGAATTTCACAATTTAAATTATTCGGTGATCAATACACAATTCCTAAGTTATTATCACTGTCAACTGTGTGCTCTGATATGCTACGAATCCTAACCAAAAAAATTGCGAAACTCACTCCAAAAGTAAGGTATGATGTGGAAGAAACCGAGAATCCAGCAGAATAGAACGGCTAAAGAGCTGTTCTTT